GGAAGAGAGATCTTAGGCCTGGAACAGTTGCTTGATATAAAAAAAAAATAACCTGGTTTATAGCCAATATACCCGCTGACCGCTGGCGTACAGGGTATGCAAACGGAAGTTGTGCGAATCAGCGCAAAACGAGCGCCAGAGGGCGCCAGCGCCAAATGAAACGCACATTTTTGCCCATAAAACGCTTAACGTTCCACATGCGCCCAACTGACACGCAGCCCCCCCCCCCTCCACGCCCCGCCACCGACCCCTTCTTCAACCTGCAGCTGCGTTTCGGATAGCAGCCGGAAGTTGTCATGTTTTATGTTTACATCAGCGGAAGCAGCTGCACGGAAGAGTCGGGTGGGGGCGCCGGGGCGTCGCATAAACATCACAATGTTGTGTTAACCACACACCCCACGCCCCGCCCCCTTCCCGTTGGCAATCATGAATTTAGCATGCGCCAGCAGAATTGCAAAATTATAATTAGGCAACTGAAACTGAAACTGAAACAGAAACTGAAGCTTGTTACGACAACACAGCGAAGCAGTGCGAGAGAGAGAGAGAGAGAGCGAGAGAGGACACTGGCCAATATAACTGTCTCTGACCATTACCAACACATCCATGCCCCACCCCCCCCCCCTCTCCACCCACCCCACACTCTGCACACGTACCCATGCCAATGCTACTGCATCTTTACGTGTGCTTCTGCTTCTTCTCCCTTTTGCCGTTTGAAGTCCACGCACGTTCGCGCATAAAGTTCATTTTATTAGCTGACGTTTCCCACTCTCTTTCGCTCACGTTTCCCACTCTGCCCCCCCCCCCCTCCTCCTCCCACCCTCGCACTCTTCTGCACATTTCGTTTTTGCATTCTGCTGCCATTTCTAATCTGCGGCTACGCTGTGCGTGCGCTCGTCGCGTAGCCGAACAGTGTGACCAGCCAGCGGCCAGGCGACAAATGTTGAAGAAACAGAAAGGCAAAGCTCAAGCAAATACCAGCTGGACTTAATAACAATTAAATGTGCCAAAAAATAATATAATAGCAATATTTAAATTCTAAATAATAATTAATTTGTTTTGGAAACATTGTGTATACATATATTGTTATGATCGGAGACATCAATCATTTCGCTAACATTTCAACACAATTGACATTATCCGCGTGGTGCCGGTTAATATCCTCGACTTTTCCTTCATATTCCCTTTATCGATTTGCCAGCTAGAAATAGATCAACCAGGGGTGCGTAGTGAAATTGATGGCCAACTCATAGAGGAGAGGTCCGCCTTAGGGTGGACCTTAACATCGGTTCGCCATATGCATGTTTGCAGATCCGATTTTAAATAAAAAAAAACTATCTTATTAAAAGACTCTTCCATTTATCGAGGTCTTGCTCGCCCCTGCTTGACAGATGTCTAGTCGACAAATCGATAAAGGGAAACAGTCGGATCATATAGAGGATCAAGTCAAACGCTTGAAAAGTTACCAAAATGATTTATTTCCGATTTCCAAACTTCATTCCAGGTAAGCTTTGTATTTGACTATTTTTTGTTTGTAAATTATTTTCAGATCCCTTTTTTTTTTTAACTATATTTATTTATACTGAAATATTTTCCAATTATTTGTATCTTATACATAGTTTTCTTTCTTACAATCTTTAGTGTTTTTGTTTTTGTTAAATAAGTTAGCTAAGCCCATATAAAAATTGGAAAATTCCTCTCAGATCTGAACCAGCGACCTTCCGCCCGTTAGTCCGACGCTCAGACATTTTAGCCACGCAGGCTCATGACGTCACGTATGACTGGTTTTTCCTGCGAACTTTGATGAACGTTTTGCCACACTAAAAGGTCGAATTTTTCACCAAACTCATTCCGATTTCGATCCCCAAGAAAGCTTCGGTAATTAGGACAGGACAAACTTCTAAAATTTGTAGATATCTATATACATATAAAGCGTCTAAACAATCGATCGACTCCCTCTGAGTATCAGATCTCAAGCCAAAGACAATGACCCGGAATTTATATATGTAAATCACAATTAGTGCTTATTTAGTTATGTGTGGCATGGTCACACTGTTTCGGTTTGGCCTGATTAGCAAAGTGCAAATTTGGCTGCTTCCCTTTTACATATATGTACATACTTTCCCGTTATCCTCTTCATTTGGTTTTTTTTGTTGTTGCTGTTATTGCTTATGCGTAATAACTTCTAGTCGAGTGCCACGCCCCTAGGCAGGCGCATATAAATATTCAATTGCAAATGGCGGACAGCAGCACGGTGGGAGCGCGGACACGTGGTGCCAAATGGACGCGTTCAAATTGCAAATTGCGCTCGTTTACAAGCGAAATGAATGAACCCACCCCCCCCTCCCTCCACCACTCGGCCCCTTGGCAAAGGCGGCATTTGCCTGGTTAGAAAAATGAAGCGTCGTGCCGCAAAAGACAGCGCGGCGAACGGGGGGGGGGGGGGCGGCATTTTTTTGTTGCGTGCCATTTTGGGCGCATAATTAGATAAGCAGCGCAATGTCTAGCCAAGCCCCGCAATAAGCCACACACACCCCCTCCCCTCCCCCTCCCCCTTGCTCCACCCCCTCCAGCCTGCTCGACTTGTTGTCACAACAAGTCGCTGACAGATGACGCGTCATAAAAGCAACAATGCGCCGCAAAATGTCTGAGGTTAGGCGCAACTCGTAGAGTTGCCCGAGGCGAGGCGAAGGTGGCGGGGGGGGACTGGAGGTGGAGGTGGAGGCGGCACAACATGCAATTATACGCAATCAACATAAATCATTCAAATTGCCACGCAAAAAGCGAAATGTACACTTTGAATGTGGCCAAAGCGCAAACTGAAGAAGGACGCGCAGCGAACGAAGGGGGGGCAGAGGAAGAGAAAAACCAAAACACACCGAAGACTGGATGCACTTGCGCACATGTGATTAGATGTAGGCTAAAAAATACTTTAAGCTAGGCTGCAAGCCACCGGCCATAAAAATACTTGTACTTAATTTGAACCAGCGTCCTGCTTTGAGCTTTGGCTCGTGAACCGGCACGGAGTTTCGTTCAAGAATGTTTTATTTATAAGTAAAAAATTCGATTAAGTTTGGTTAACTTATATGATTTAAGGTTCGGTTATATTCCGGGTTTGAACCATTGCAGTTCGAACCCGCAAAATAATACTAAGCTAAAGTCAAGTTTAGTTTAGAAACTTGGCTGTAAGGACCTCAACTATGAATACTGATCAAGAAAACCTTTGTGACACAACTGAAATGCCCACAAATACGAAGGGTATACAAAAAAAATAGTAGAAGGCATAAAGCAGAAGGAACAGCAGCTAAAGGCAGTCGCAATGGGGGCGTAAGGCTAATTTGCAATTGAAATGCCTGAGCCAAGACAAATTTGTTGCGTTGCGCGCCTAAGGTTGGGCACAACAAAGCACAGAAAGAAGGCTGCCCAAGTGAGAAGCGCAGAGAGAGGCAGCGGGCGGAGTAGAAGTAACCGACAGCAGGACAGCACAAAATGGGGCATGGCCGCATTACGCATACGCCGCGTTGTCAACCATTTAAGTGCGCGCTCGTGTATAGGTCTATATAGGTGTGTGTGTCTCTGTGCGAGTGTGTCAGTGTTCGGCTCAGGCTGAGGCAGCTGACAAATGCGACAGCGGCACGTGAGCCAACCGCCAAGGCCAAGCCTGTCCAGCCGCATCTGAATGTCAGGCCGCAAATTTGTAGGCCCCCAATCATCAACATATTCCATTCACAGAGCCAAATTGTGGCACGTCCAGGTGCCAGCTTCGAGCTGTAAACAGCATTTGGCAAATAGCAAATATTTCAAGCGATTTACAAATGCGAATGACCGAAATTTTGATGAAATCGCTACCGTAGCCCGGCTCTAATGGCCCGCCTCTCGAGCAGGCCCCAGCTGCTGGCGGAAAACTTACATAATTGATAAGGAAATTGATAACTTTATTTAAAACTGATGCACTCTGGTCGGGAGTGCCCGACTAGCAGATATCCTGGGCTCAGTGACGAGCTGCCTTTAACGGTATTCGGTTGTAGAAATGCATTCTTGTTTAACTTCGGTGTTTATAGTCCGATCTTTTTTTAAATTTTGCTTGCCCTACTTCGATATCCAAAATGTGTGTGAATACCAAAGCCCAGGGTATAAGCTCTAAGAATGAGATGTTATTACAAATTTGCTATTTAAATAGTGAACTTTTTTGGATCTGTTTATGCCATTCAAGAACTTACATTCTATATTTTAAGACTCCAGCTCTTATAAACTCCGAGATATGCTCAAAAAAAAAATAAGATATCGATATCGATTCTTATCGATTTCAGGGAAATGCCGCAGCTGTACAATGAGATCTGCTGGAAAAACAAGATTTCGACATCGTTTCCTAACGAGAATTTAAAATAAACAATACAATGAGATATGCTCATAATATAAGATTTCGATATCGATTCTTAACGATTCTTATCGATTTTAGGGAAGTTATTATCCAAAAACAAGATATCGATATCGATTCCTATCGATTTCAGGGAAATGCAGCAAACTATTTAGAATTCGAAATAAGCAATACGATCAAATACGTTCAATACTCTAGTTCTAAGTCTTTCAGATCGACGCGTTCATACATATAGACAGGCATAATACCGAACCCTCAAATATCGTATATAGACATAGGTCAAAATTTCCCAAACCTATAACTCGGTCAAATCTCATCCGATTTTCACGAGCTTTCGTTCTTTGTTCATGGCTTGGCCTCTAGATCATCTTGGTGATATGTTCATGATATGTTAAAAATATCCCATATAGACATTGGTCGAAATTTCCCATACCCGGGAAATACCCGCCAGCAAATATATATATTTATTAAAAATTTAAATAAACTATCTGAATTAATAAAATAAACTAAATTTAAATATATTTATATGAAATATTTACATGAAATATTTTTATCACTAATCGAATCCAAAAGCAAAGGCGCTGGTTCAAACCCGAAACTAGTTTCAAATAAAACTCGGGATGTATACAATTTTTTAAAAACCCCAATGTTTGTATTATCGTCGTTATAATAGATTTGGTGTCACATCATTATTCAATTTTGTATATGGGCTGCTCGCACAGAATTTGTAATAACCACGTTTAGAAACCAACTCGAAAGTGTTGCCAATTTTATAGAATTTCAAACAAAATCAAAAGGGACGGGTGAAGGGGGTGACGGGTGTGAAGGGGTATAGGAAAAAGGGGGGCGGAAAAAAAAATATTGAAGAGAAAAACTAGAAATTTGAGTTTGTTTTGTAGCTCTCATCCAGGGAACCCGGGCGTTACAATTTTTCTATATATATCTCTGTCTGTCTGTCTGTGTGTCTGCGTGTCTGTGTGTCTGTGTGTGTGCGTATCTGTGTGCGTATCTGTGATTTGGTCAGCTGGTCAACAATATATGGGGTACATATAGTTGAAAACATATGCACATGCGAAATTTAAATATCGAAACAATTATTATCGAGGGTTTTGTGTTGACGTGTTCGCAATTATTTGTTGGGAAAGCTTGAACTTTGAATTTGAAGAATTTGCTCGAGGCAAACGTATTTTTATGGGGTTTAGTTGGTTTTCTCGTTTGTGTTGTTGTTGTTGTTGTTGTTGTTGTTGTTGTTGTTGTTGTTGTTAATATGATTATAGCTATTCTCATATTTATGGTTAATCGTAGTGTTCCCTTCGGCTCAAATCAAGTCAACGATCGAAGCAGGTTCGAGCTTAAGTAGAAGGAGCAGTTCTTGAAGATTGCGCATTTTTTTGCTTAGTCAAATAGACTGGGCTCCTGATCCTCGACGGGCGGACCAAAGATATGCGTCAGCGTCAGCTGTGTATAGGCAATGACTGCCGACGGGCACAGACCCAGCGCCTCCTCCAATGTTACCCATTTGGAGATCTCATCGCCCGGACAGACCACATGCATATAGACAACGTCATCGATTACCGCATGGCTAATGATTGCCATCGGGCTGCTGCTGCCGTTCGCATTGGTCAGCGTCGTTGGATTCAGATTGATAACCATCTGCAAAACACAAGCACAGAGAACCGCATATTCAGTGTGAGAGACAGAGTGCGAGAGAGAGAGAGCGAGTGAAAGGGAGGGAGAGAGAGAGAGAGAGAGAGAGAGAGCGAGAGAGAGCGAGAGAGAGACTCGAAATTCTAGCTTCCCCAAGCCTCGCTCTATACGAAAAAACGCGCCCGAATAACTTCGGTGTTTATAGTCCGATCTTTATGAAATTCTCAAGGAACGACTATGGCATGAAAAAGCGTGTGCATACCAAAGCGCTAGATTCTACTCTAAAAAAGGCAGAGAGAACATACACTCCAAGTTTGGCATAACTGGCTTTTAAAGTCTTCGAGCTATCAAAATCGATATTTATCGATATTTTTGGAAATAAGTAAATATATCGAGCGAAAAATGATCAATTTTTTCAGCGCCTAAAACATACGTGCATATATATCCCATTTCAAGTCCCAACTTAGTGTAGTTTCCGAGATCTACGAGTTCAATCACAGACGGACTTGAGACTTAACAGCTGCTTGGGTTCGCAGCCTGCTTCTACACCCTGTTACATACAGCTGCATCAAGCTGTTATACCCTTTGCATCCCTTTTCTATAACTTACTTTCAGATAGAACCGGACGTCCCGAATCTGTACTTAGCTCGTCTGGTGAGAGCTGGTGTATTGGGTCTCCAGTTCTCCAGGTTTATCACTCGTGTCTGCTGCAGGATTAACTCTTTCTCACTTACTCTTTCTCTTTCTCTCTCTCTCTCTCTCTCTCCCTCTCTCTCTCTCTATCTCTCTCTCCCTCTCTCTCTCTGCGGTGGGAGGAGTGCTTGCTCTTACTGCCTTCTTAGGTGGCACTTCGCTTACAATCTCGTTGATAATTTACGATTTTCTATTTTTGATGTAAAGATTATAATTTAAGTATATGTATGTTGAGTCAAATTCATTTACCCAGCCTGACACACAGGCCGAAAAGGCTACTTAATGTTAACTAATAACAGGCCGACTTTGCCGCTACACAAGAGAGAGAGAGAGAGAGAGTACGAGGGGAGAGAGAGAGAGAAAAGAAGGGAGAGCTCTGTTTCAATTAGAGAAATGTGGGTATCTTCATGTTTTACGAGCTTGTAAAGTTGTGAAGAACCAAAAAAAACTATTCCTGTTCATTTTTCGATCGATTCTTTGTTAATCACCTCTCTATGAGATTCTCATGAATTCAAGTAAGACTTAGACGATAACAAAAACGATTCCTGCTCACTGTTCGATCGTTTTTTCCTTTATCGCCTCTCTATGCGATTCTCATGAATTCAATTAAGGCCAAGACGTTAACATGCTCCGTTTCGTATTAGTTTTACGATTTGTGTTGACAATATAATAATGTAGAGCTCCCCTCAAATTCTCTTTTGCCCTCCCTCTCTCCCCCTCTCTCTCTCTTTCTGTCTCCCTCTGTCTCTCTTTCTCTGTCTTGCTCTATATAGACAGCAAGATGTGACTGCTCTCTTCCACCAGAGCCCAAATTGCTTGCTCATCTTACTAAATAGCTGCTGTCAAATTTCTGTGCAGCAAACCTATTCCTATACCTATTCCAAATTCGTATGCGAAATTCTCGATATAATTGTCCCATTAATGAAGCCCATTAATCGTCTTCTGTTGCGGTTGTCATTTTGCCTTGCATGTCCGCATAGTTCGATGCGCATTCAATACACATCCAAAATGCTATTCATGGGGCTTATCGGAACCCCTTTGAATGCATCTCAAGTTCCTTTGGCAAATCATCTATTGAGCGCAGGATGTGGGGGAGGGTGAAGGGAGGTGAAGCTGAGTATTGGATGTTGGGATTTCCGTTGAAGCTATTGGCTTTCACTTTTCACAATTTCGCAATTAATTTCCGTTTGATTGTTTGCCTCACAGCACAGTGGGCAATTCCATTCATTTTGCTAATAAAAATGCGACAGCTTTTTGGGCGCTTTTCTTCTCAAATACTTTAAGGCTTGACTGAAAGAGATGGAGCACATAGCATAGAGTTTTACTTATTATTATTATTATATTATTTCATTTACAGCCCTTGAAAAGTAATGCAAAAAACACATGCTGCTTCTTAGAGCAGCTCTGCTTAACAGCTGTTATATTAACAGTGCCAGGCTATGTAAACATTTTGGGAAATTGCAGCTGTATTTCCATGTATTTCCCATGTATCTTAGCCAAAATTTGTTTAACTAAAGCAATTTTAAAATTAGTTCGTTTTGCCAGATAAATGTTTGAAATATCGCATAGTTTGCCGTGGCTGTTATCTTAACAGAGTTTAACTATGTTAACATATTCACCCATGTTAAATTTAAGCTTGTTGTATTTCCAATGTATTTAAGCCAAAAGTTTTTTTGGCTGTGGCTGTTATCTTAACAGAGTCTGACTATGTTAATATTTTATTTATGTAAAATTGCAGTTTGTTGTATTTCCCATGTATTTAAGCCAAAAGTTGTTTAGCTGAAGAAATTTTAAGAGTAGTTCGTTTTGCCCGAACAATTTGTAAAATATCGCACAGTGCGCTGTGGCTGTTATCTTAACAGAGTTGGACAATGTTAACGCTTATGTAAACTTGCAGCTGTTATTTTAACAGATCAGGACTGTGCTAACATAATCGCTTATGTAAAATCGCAGCTTGTTGTATTTCCACGTATTTTAGCCAAAAGCTGTTAATCTTTTAATTAATTAATAATTTAATTAATTTTTGCCAGAGAAATGTCTCAAGTTGCCCACAGTGCGCTGTAGCTGTTGCAGCCAGCCACGCCCCCGCTGGCCGCCCACTGCAGCTTAATTGCTTTGGGGAGCTGCACAGCACAGTCTCTCTCTTCCTCCCCCTCTCTCTCTCTCTCTCTCTCGATGTGTGTGTGCTTCTGATTTACGCGCTGCATTTGCCGCCATAAATAAAGCGCTAAACACAGCGCAGTTGCATGGGGCAACAAGTCAGCTGGAGCAGAAGGAAAAGGGGCGTGGCAGCCGCTATTGCCAACTGTCGACAACTTCGTCCTGTGACTTTCATTTGTACAGTTCATTTGTTTCAGCCAACAACAAGGACACAAACATGGCCCACACAGTGAGATGCTCGCTCCCGCTCCCGCTCCCCCTCCCGTTCCCGCTCCCGCCCCTGCCACAGCCACAGCCACGTCTTTCGCTAGCTCACCTGACTTATCCACACAACGTGTTTATTGCTTCTCCATTGTTGTCTTTGGCTAATTGCCGATGCAGCAGCAACTGGCAGCAACTGGCAACAATTGCTCCCAGGCCATCGATTTTGATTCAATGCAAAACGAAATAAAGTTGAACATTTTTAAGGATGCAATTTGTGGCAAGCTGTCAGTTGCAGCATATTTACAACAAGGGACCACGCCCCGAGCGGGCGTACTCAATAAACTCGCACGAAATTGCAATAATTGCAGAGTGAAGCACACTTTGCGGGCAGCTACACTCCGAATTGTTTCCTTTTTTTTTTTTTTTTGACGAATTTAGAAAATTGCCACAAAATGCAATTTTTTTTCCAATTACGTGAGAATTTAATTATGAAACAAAAGTCGGTCGGGTGTGCCCGACCCGGTAGATGCTCCACACTCAGCGCCAAGGTTCCTGTTCCCTTCACCCCGCACTGTGCATGGAAATTGCCTTCTTAGTTAACATCGGTCCGATATTTTTGAAATTGTCTGTTCTTTAATATGGCAAGCAAGCGAGTGATTGACCAGTCGGATTGACGGGACTTAGTGACTGCCCGATTGACTCACCTTTTTTGATTGACTGACTGATCGACTGACTGTCTGTCATTCGGGTTGATGGTTTGACTGACTGATCGACTGACTGGCTGTCTTTCTGAATGATATACTAACTGTCTAATTGATTGACTGACTGATTGAGCGATTAATTAACTAACAATCTGATTGATTGACTGACCGACTGACTAACTATCTGTCTGATTGTTAGACTAACTAAATGATTAAGTGACTGATTGGGCGATGAATTGAAAAACTATCTGACTGATTGACTGACCAACTGACTAACTACCTGTCTAATTGATAGACTGACTAAATGATGGAGTGACTGCTTGAGTGATTGATTGATTGATTGTTTGACTGGCCAACTAGCTGACTGTCTGTCTGATTAATAAACTGACTGAACGATGGGGTGACTGATTGACTAATTAAATAACTCACTATCTGATTGATTGAGTGACAGCCTGGCCTTTAGGCTGATGGACTGACTGACTGATCCACTGGCTGAGCGAGTGACTGATTGACTGATTATTTGGCTAACTATCTGATTGATTGACGGACTGTCCGTGTGATTGATAGATTGATTGATTGACTCTCAGATTAATTAATTAATTTCCTTACTATCTGACTGATAGAATAAGTGTATGATTGGACTGAATGAATGTCTGGCGATCGACTGACTATCAGATTGACTAATTTATTTACTGACTGTCTGTTTGAGAGAATGACTGTCTGATTGACTGACTGATTAACTGGGTGACTATTTGATTGATTGATTGACTGTCTTATTGACTGATTTATTTACTAACCATCTGATTGATTGGCTAACTGACCATCTGGTTGAAAGACTGACTGAATGGAGTGACTGATTGACTGTTTGATTGATTGACTGCTAGGCTGACTGACTTTCTGATTGATAGACTTACACAATGAATGAACCATCCAATTAGATTCAAGCTCATCCTGGAAGATTTTAAGCATAATCTATGTCAAAGTTTGCAAATGTACGACAGTTACTTAGATTTGGTATCTTGGGAACAGTTAGTTAATGAAAAGCTGAAGCTAGCATGACTTAGCAAATCGTAGTCTTTTTCTGTGATGCGTGTAGCTTAGGGTGACCCTCAAAACGAACATAACAAACGTGGTCCACCCTGGAAGACACAGAGCGCTCTTGGCGATTCGTTGAGTCATTGAAAACAACTGATTTTCGATATTTGATGCGCCATATGCGAGGCAGCCAGAAAGCTGCCACATCATGAGGCATTTACCCCTACATTCCCTCCCTCCCTCCCCATTCCCATTCCCATCCCCATCCCCACCCACACACACCCAACCCCTACCCCACTCGATGTGCTGTGTGCCTGCCCTTTGACGAGTCTTAATTAAGACATCGTTACACGCTATTTTCTGTGCTCTGCTGATGGGATGACAATTGAAGTTGTTGGGTCCAAACACACACACACACACACACACACACACACACACACACACATGTGTTGCACACTCATTGCTGCCAGCCGGAAATGGGTAGCTGGCAGTTGGTAGCTGAAGCGTTTGACATGCATAATTAAAATTGCATGACTTAGGAGGAGCGAGGAGCGTGGAATGAAGAGAGATTCAGCGAGAGAGAGAGAGTGGAGGGAGGTACGGGCTGTCGTTGGGCTTATAATGAGCCGCATCGTTGGAGCATCAAATGCGTTAAATCTTCATGAAATATATTTGACAGGCGCTGCGCTCCGACAGAGACAAGGCGGGACAGAGAGAAGGAGAGGAGAGAAATTGAGAGAGAGCAGAGGAAACGAAGCAAACGGGTTACGCGTGACGGGGGATTTGATGGAGCAAAGGGGATTTGGTTGGTACATTCATTGCCTTGGGCTACAACCGAACGACTTGGCTCCACATCCGCCGGCACATCCGTCCGCAAAGCTGGCACATCCGTCCGCATCCAGCTGCATCCTGGCAGGTTGCCTGCGCCAGGTGCTCTGCTGCCTGCCTGCCTGCCTGAATGCTGCC